GGCTTTCCTCGCACAATCGTCAGATTTCAGTTTACGTTTACGTCTTGATTTCAACTGCATACTGCCCTCTGCGAATATACAAACGAGTTTCAAAGTTAAGACGTAAATCTGCGTTTAGACGTAAATCTGCGTTTAGACGCAAATCTGCGTTTAGACGTAAATCTGTTTTTTGCAGATTACCTTTTGAGCTGTACAACAACAGCACATTGTCTTTATACTTTTGCTCAATCTATGCTTAGACGCAATCTGCGTTTAGACGCAATCTGCGCTTAGACGCAATCTGCGCTAAGACGCAAACTGCGCTTAGACGCAATCTGAGTTTAGACGCAATCTGCATTTAGACGCTAACTGCGTTTAGACGCTAACTGCGCTTAAACCTAAACTGCACTTAATCATAAGTATTCTTAGAATCGGTTTTTGCATCAAAATAGTCTTTGTCGAACGAACGCAGCCTTCGCTTTTTAATCGCTGAAAAATATCCGCTGCACTAATTCACCCCCCCCCCTCTTAGTGCTCTCGATCCTAACACAGTTAAGAAATAAAATATACAAAAAAAATTATGTTCTCCTAGCGCCCCTCTCTATTTAACCATCCTATTTTTACTCTATGAATAATATCTTTATCGATCTCTTCATCTTGCAACTGTAACATGCAAGAACTATTTTTTAAAAAAAAGAGATTGACAACTACTACTATTTTTTTCATACAGCAATTGCAACAGGTAAGGGAACTAGAAAGCTCAATGGGCTTCAATGAAAGATTGTAACACGACATTTATGTCAAGGTAAATAGGATAGTTTAATTGGCTAACCATCAGATTCCTCACATGAATTCTTTGTTATTTTGTTCAAGCATTTAATTGGATTAAAGTTGGGCTGCACAAAGTAAACTGATCATGAAAGAGGCCCACAGTTAAATAAATGAAGATCAAATGAATATTTTCAATAATAAGTTCAAGAACACATCATATACAATCACGTTCTGTTTGTTCTACTCATTATAAATATCATAATTTTATTTTAAAGAACAAGAGAAAAAAATTTAACGAGTATAACTTGCAGATACAAAACTCAGCGGTACTTTACATTAAGCAGAAAATAGATGACTTTGTGTGGCTATCTGCTGGTAGAGCCAGTATGGCAGTGCAACACATGGAGTGACAAGCCAATGCAGCTATGTGCATTGAGCATGTAATCTATTTACCGGGAAATAAGCTTCTGTCTTTTACTTAACTTAGGAACTGATCTTGGTGTCTGTGTATTGCCAGCATAAGGCATAACATCGTCTGTGAGACTGACATGTATTTTGCATGTACAGTTAGACGAACTATGTTATCACTTCTAATCACTGAATTAACCCAAGCCGATACAATTTCTTTGTTCATGTTTTCCTTATTTGTTCTAGATCTACAATGTCATTCACATTTTCAAGAACAACAAAATCATGCTAACCAGCACTCCTAATGTCGACACAGATTTCAGTGACAAACTGTGGCTAGACAATTAAAATCCTAAATTAGGAGTACAAACTTCACATATATGCCTGTTGCAAGTACTCGGTGGTCTCGCAACATAGTATTGTCTTCTCTACTAATAAATGCCTACTTGCAAAACACACTGTGGTCTCACAACATCAAAGAACCTAATTCACAGAATAAATGTCTTATTGCAAACAACCAGTGGTGTTGCAACAACAAAAATTATCTCCTAGACATAAAAATGCCTGCTTGTGGTCTTGCAAACATCATAATACCTCCTAGACATGATAAATACCAACTTGTAAGCAACATGCGGTCTCACAGCATCGTATTACCACGCCCAAGACCATGATCCTTAGGCCGAGTCCGCTGCGTGCCTGAACTCCTGCAGCTCCTTGAAGTTGAGCCATGGCTTGACCCACACCTTGGCCTCGTAGACCTTCTTCTTCCCTGCATCGACGGCCTCGACAGTCAAGTGGTGCAGGGTCCCTGCAACCACCTGCTCCTTCGCCTCGACCACACGCACGAACTCCAAGAGAGCATTCTTCATCAACACACAAAGATATTTAAGTACTTTGAATCAACCAACACAATATACATCACAGGAAAACATGTACAAAGAAAGACCGATTACAAAGAAACATAATCTCAAATTTAGGGTTTTTCGATCACGTGAACAGATTGAAGAGGAGTACGAGAATGAAAAAAAAGGGGTATTTTTTTAAAGAAAAGCAATAAAAAAAATCCAGAAACCGGATCACGATAGGAAAAAAAAAATTTTGGGAATCATACAACACTTATAGAAAAGAAAATTATGATAAAATTACTATTTTCCAGAAAAAAATGAAACCACACCAAAAGGGAAAGGAAAGAAATTTAGAAAAGACCTCTTTCTTGTTATGTTCGTCGACGGCGAAGCGGGCGAGCTGCTCGGTCTCGGCGCTGTTAGCAATCCCTTCCACTTCCTTGATCCCTCCGACGGTCGCCATCGCGATCTGAGATGATGGAGACGCAGAAAAAGCGGCAGTGACAGAGTATGCGAACGAGGGGAGGAGTCGCCACCTTTATAAAAGCGGTCTTTATGGGATTCAGTTTTCTAAGCCTTCTTTATCGTGTCGCTTGTTGACAAGTCGGGTCATGATCCGATCACAGAAGCTTTGCGAGTCGTGAACGTCATTAGACCCGGATCCATGCCAATGATCCGATCACGGAAGCTTGGCGATTCGTGAATGTTAGCTCCGGATCTGATTGATTATATAACTTGGATTGAAGTGGATGTCTAATGATCCGTTTGCAATTTCGGATCAAATTCATATTGCCACACTGTGAGTTATTGTTTATTATGAACATAATGGGTTAAAAATTTCTTTAAATTAAAATACCATTTGATTGTTGGATTTTTCTTTAATAAATATCACCTAATATCTTAAGTAATATTAGGTGATATTTACAAGTTATACACATTTATTTTTTTTTTTCACAAAATGGATCATAAGTGTTCTAGAAATTTTTACAAAAATTCTAAAATACTGGGGAAAAGAATCTTCTAGAACTATAATTTTTAGATAATAATATAAATATTTTGGATCTAAGTAGAAAACTATGATCCAATTTGAATCATACCAAAAACTATAGATACATATATTTGTTAGGATCAAGAGCACTAAGAGAGGGGGTGAATTAGTGTAGCGAAAAACTTTTCGTCAGTTAAAAAGACTTTCGTACGAAAACCGTTTCAGAAATAACTTTAACTTGAGAGCAAACAGAAGTATAGATAATGTAAAGCAATGGAAGCAGTTTGCAATTAAGATAAATAGCAGAATGTAAATGTAAATTGAGATTTAGAGTTGTTCGGTCAATCTTGACTTGCATCCACTTTTGGCTTCCTCCTCCGATGAGGTCGCCGACATCCATTAGAGGCCTTCCTTAAATAAGCGAAGGCCAACCATCCTTTTACAGCTTTTCTCCTTTTGACGGGCATAGGAGACAACCCTTATAGATTTTCACTCCTCTCTTGAATGATCAACACTTAGAAAGAAAGAGGGAGAAGAACTTCTAGCCTTTTACAACACTTTTAAGCTCTTAAATACTTAAAATAAAAGTAAGCTTTCGGTGCCCCTAAAGGGTAGGGTTTATATAGGCCCCAACCAGTTTGAAATTGGAGCTCAAAAGTGTCATCTCTTAGATTTCCAGGGTCCTGACGGTATCACCGCCATAACTGGGCGGCACTACTGCTTGGCATCTGACATTGGGTGGTATTACCGCTCAATTTGGGTGGTACCACCGCATGACAGAGCTCGGAGACTGAGCTCTAGTGGTACCATCGCTTGACTAGGGTAGTACCATCGCTTGGCAAAGCTCGGAGACCGAGCTCTGGCGGTACCATCGCTTGATTGGGGCGGTACCACCACCCAGAACTCTTGGGAGATCGAGTCTCCTGGGCGGTGCCACCGTCGACCAGGAATTCTGGGTCCGAATGGGCTAATCCATTCGACCCAATTTGGGTCTGTCAAGGGCCCAATTGGCTCCAAATTAAGTTAATGGGATCACCTCCCAATCCTAACTTAATCTTCATGCTAACTATGACAAGTAAGATATTAATACTACAAAACATATTCCGGTGCGTCAATCGCTTCTTCTAGCGAGCTTCCGGCGAACTTCCGGTGAACATCTGACGAACCCTCGGCGATGCTCCGGCGGACTCCTATTAAACTCCTAGACTTGTGAC